TAAAATACACAGTTATAAAGTAACTCTTAATGTTGCTTTTTAAAATATGAAATTTTATGTTGAAGCATTTTTTTAATATATGCTAAATGTCCTGGATAGAAATTGCTGTTGACGAGAATTATTAGTGGCTGCTTTTTCGCTAAGACATTTTTAACAAATTAATTTATAGAGAGTAAGTAATATAGTGATTTCTTCGTCACTGGACATCTTGCAGAATAACAGTGATTTAAATACAGTGTATGATAGAGAACATAAAAAACTAATGGCAACAAAATTAATAAATTCGGAAAATACTTTTAACATACCACCCGAAAAAATATTAGATATATATATATATATATATATATATATATATATATATATATATATATATATATATATATATATTAGGGTGGTCCTTAATAAGGTTATTTTCAAATTTCTTTGCTCCCAGGGGCTCAAATGCTTCCAAATTAATAAAAAAAAATTCCCTGAAAATTTGAGCTCTCAATATTAACTCTAAAATAGTGCGCATTCCAATCTAAGTTTCCCATGGAAATAACATAGGAAAAATTACTTTTGTTGTTTATAATTTTATAACTTGGGAACGAATGAATTAAAAATTATAAATCATACATAATTTTATAGAGAATTTAACGCTCTACAAAAAAGGTTTCTTATAATTTTTCCATTAGTCTATTTGTTTAAAAGTTATTCAACGTCAAAGTTTAATTTTCATATTATCAAGGCTCAAAATTAAAAGTGCTAAACAAACTTATTTTGTTTTATAAATAATTAATTATATGCTTTACCAAATAATTTTTTTATAAAATTATTTTTTTATAATTTTTGTTTTGTAAAATAATTTTTTTATAATTTTTTTTTTGTAAAAAATTTTATAAAATAATTTTTTTATAAAATAATTTTTTTTTAAATAATTTTTTTATAAAATAATTCTTTTTTATAAAATTATTTTTTTATAAAATAATTTTCTGCGAATCAAAAATTATTTTATAAAAGACGACGGGCGCATTTATAAACTAATTTTTACTGCAGCCATCTCTATTTGTTTGTGGACACTCGAGTAAACCCGAGTAAACCCGAACGCCCCTCCCCAGATACAATTGACGGACTGGGCTTTGGTTTGACGCAATTTGGGGAAACGATTGAAAATAATAATATATTATTTTTATTCATTAATTCATTAATTTTTTTATCCACATTTATTTTGATTTTTTGTTTTAACAAGAATTCTTTATGTTTAAACGTTTTTTATAAGAAAGCACTTGTTAAAAACTAAAATAAATAAATAAAATAATTCTCTTGAAAACAAATTAAAATAAATAAATCAATTCTCTTAAAACAAAACTAAAAATCAAAAAAAATTATTTTATAAAAAAGAATTATTTTATAAAAAAATAATTTTTAAAAAAAATTATTTTATAAAAAAATTATTTTATAAAAAAATAATTTTATAAAAAAATTATTTGGTAAAGCATATAATTAATTATTTATAAAACAAAATAAGTTTATTTAGCACTTTTAATTTTGACACAAACGGCGCCTATTAATAATAATATGAAAATTAAACTTTGGCGTTGAATAACTTTTAAACCAATAGACTAATGGAAAAATTATAGAAGACCTTTTTTGTAGAGCGTTAAATTCTCTATAAAAATATGTATGATTTATAATTTTTAATTCATTCGTTCCCAAGTTATAAAATTATAAACAACAAAAGTAATTTTTCCTATGTTATTTCCATAGGAAACTTAGATTGGAATGCGCAATATCTTAGAGTTAATATTAAGAGCTCAAATTTTCAGGAATTTTTTTTTATCAATTTGGAAGTATTTGAGCCCCTGGGAGCAAAGAAATTTAAAAATAACCTTATTAAGGACCACCCTAATATATATATATATATATGTATATATATATATATACATATATATATATATATATATATATATATATATATATATATATACATATATATACAGTGTGTCCGTAAAGTCCCGGAACATGTGATTATTTTGAAAACCGTAATTTTTTTATAAAAACGCTGAAACACGTCAACTTTGTTATTTTTCTAGCAATATTTTAGCCTATGTAGTTGTGCCGCGTGGTGGCGCCCCAATCGTAAGGTTTTTTTTAAATTACAACCCCTTATTTTTGTTGCATTTTTGGATAGCTGCCGTTGTCCTGAGTACATTGATATGCTACATGTGGAGGGTTACATAAGAAAATTTTTGAGAAAAGTAGGTTTTTGCCGCCGATTGAGATTTTGGTTTTGACGAACTTATTCGCTGTTACGGGGCACCACCACACTATGCATTGCTAGTAAGGGGTTATTTAAATCTTTAAGTCTTTCAGAATCAGGATAGGTCGAAGGGGTCAAATTGAGTGGCCAGCGCTATCGCCAGATTTGAACCCTTTAGACTTCTTTTTATGGGGACATCTTAAAAACCGCGTCTATGTAAACAGGCCTTAAAATTTGGACGACCTAAGACACCGCATTCAAGCCGAGATCCAGATGATCACTCCAGCGGTACTGGCAAACGTACAACGCTCGTTTGTGGACAGGCTGGCCCACTGCCAAATAGTTTACGGTGGACACTTTGAGCAACTGCTCTGATTGGCTTTCCAAAAAACATTAATCAACGCATAGATTGTGTTTAAGTTTGGCAAAATACCAAAATCTCATTCGGCGGCAAAAACCTGGTTTTCTCAAAAATTTTCTTATGTAACACTCCAGATGTGGTACATCAATGTAATCAGGACAACGGTAGCTATCCAAAAATGCAACAAAAGTAAAGGGTTGCAATTTAAAAAAAACTGACTTTGATTGTGGCGCCGCCACGCGGCAGAATTTGGAACAACTACATATGCCAAAATATTGCTAGAAAAATAACAAAGTTGACGTGTTTCAGCGTTTTTAAAAAAAATTTACTGTTTTTAAAATAATCTCATGTTCCGGGACTTTACGGACACACTGTATATAAATAATCCTGTTCCGGCCTTATAAACGGTATAAATGCTTCACAAACTAGAGATACCACACTTAATAAAATTTGCAACAAACTATTTCAGAAGTCAGATCAATGAATTAGGAGTTCCCTTCAGAATCCAGAAAAGGGATGAGGAATCCGAGAAAGATATATATGAATTATATGAAATTTACAAAAACGAAATAAAAAAAATTACCTAAAACAGCAATTTATGTTTTGTTATTATTGTTGTTTATATAAAAATTGTATGTCCAATAACTATGGTCAATGTGCCCAATTACTATATAAAATGTTCAATTACTATACTTTTTTGCATGTTTTTATAAAACTAATTTTAAAAATTTAAATATTCTTATTTTTAAGTAAATAAATTTTAAACAAACAAACTATCTTTTTATATATTTATAAGAAAAAAACTAAAATCTTTAAAACAATGGCATATATAAATTTTAAATAAATAATATTCCTTAAGTGTCCAATAACTATGTGGTTTACCCTATGTTTGTGTTTCTTAAGTTGTCAGCACAAAATTTGAAATGACAATTTGAAAAAGTGCTAAAAATGTTCTTTGAGATTTCCATAAAAAATATACTGTAATAATCAATTTTTAAGCCATCAACATGATCCCCTTTGGTTGCTTGAGTTTAAATACGAATTTTTAAAAGAATCTATAAAATATACCTGAAATAACACTTATGCAACTAAAAAATAGCGTATTAGAACAAAATTTGTTACATTTAATGTAACTTTAAATTTTCTTGGAATTCGTGCTGTAAAAAATTCTGAAATTATTTGTAAATGTGTCGGATGCTTTACAAAATTAAATATTAAACTTTGAATTCTATGGAAACTCTCCAAATGAACATACTACCTTAAATAAGAATAAAAAAGTGTTATTTTCAAAACCATTTGCACATTTGCTGGAATATCAGGGGAATAAGTAATAAGTTATCATTCATTTCCAAAAAAACCTTTATTATTAATTGTACTAACAGTGTTCATTTTTAAATTTATTTGTTAGCTGAGGTTTTTTCTTTTGAAACAAGGCCTTAAGATTAATCGGCAAAAGCAGATATTCGGTTCGGTAAAAGTAAAGTTTTTCCGATTAAAAGTTAATCTTTAAGCGGAACTTTCTTGAGGTACCCATAAGTAATAAAATTCCTTAATAGATTAATTTGTGTCAGTTAAAACGAACTTGTCTTAATTATGCTCGGAAAATGCATCCAGGGATTTTTAAATGGATACTTGAATTTTTCCTTCCTGATAATTAATTCAGCGGCATGTTGCTAATTAAATTTTCGGTTTAATGCATATTTATAAACTTCTAGTTTGTAAGTTTGCATATCTAATGATTATACAGAAAAATGGGTGCTTCATTTTTTACTAATTTGATGCAACTGCTTTTGTTATTTTTAATTAAGTATGCAAGTTTTTATTTACAAATAAATTAGCAACAATACTTTAAAACAATGTCCAATGTACACATTTATTCAGGGTGTCTTAAAAATATACTTACTAAACCTAGTAAGATTTGACGTTAATTTAAATTAATTTAAATAATTAATTAATTAATTTAAATATAATAAATACAATTTTATAACGTAAAACGCGCTGTTATATTTGGGACACTTGCCAATAGGAAAAACTTTTTTATTATGCGTTTTGCGAAAAAAATCATTTTTCATAAAAATTTTGATAGTTTAAAAAATAAAATTTAGTTTAGATTCAATCGTATCAGTCAAAATACATTATAATATGGTCCACCACTTGTTTTTTATGAAGAAACATTTTCTATCTATATTTAATTCACCATATTTTACAAAACTTACTAATTGCAAGAGCTTGTTGAAAACTTTACCAAACACTTCTCTTTCAGAATTTCCATTATACAGGTAATGCCAGCTTTAGGGCAATTAAGAAATCAATAACTAAAATAATAATCCAAATCTTGCCAAAATTTCAAACGTTTGTAAAATGTTAATTTTTTGTTATTCTAATGCATACATTTTTTAGGTAACAGGCAAACAAATAGTAGCAAGCGAATTACTTCTGGAGCTTATGGTTAGAATTGCTGCACATCCAGATCAGTGGGAAAAAGTACATCAATTGTTACGTAAGTAATACAGCAATATTTTATCAATATTTATTCATGGGGATTTGTTATTTCAGAAAAAATAGACAAAGACATCAGTTTATCCCAAGACATCTTGGAAGACCTAAAGAAAAACAAGTTGGACCTAAAAGAACATTTTGGTAATGAAGAACTTCATGTCAGCAAAAAAATATCGAAACCTCTAGAGTATTTGACACCACCTAAAGAACAAAAAATTAAGACAAATAAATGGCCAAACTTCGACATACTAGAAAAGCCTGAAAATGAAAAGGAAGACAAACCATTACAAAACGATTTAAAGCAACTAAAACCGTCATATCCAAAGAATTTTGCGTATCACAGAGTCACTGGCAAACCTATTTACCTTAACAACAAAAACGCGAAGGCGTACATCGCTGTATCGGTGATAGCTCCTAAAATAAAAACGGAAGACGAAGTGGCCCTTGAAAACGAATTACGCCAACTAAAGCCTTGGTCACACCAGGAAAACGTAAACAACATGGAAAACTTGAGATCTAATTGGTTAATTCATCAGAAAGAGAAGAAAAAGGAGAACATTGAAGGATTGTAGATAATTCGAATATATTGTTTTAGTATGTATTTTAACCAAGCTGATTTTGGAAATTAATGTTTCACTGATTACCAAGCACTAGCAGTATTAACCGCAACTTTCTGTCAAAATAGATATTAAGTATCTGTAAGATAATAGTTTTTTGTTAAATGGTGCAGTCGGTTGGATATTGATTTTTTGTGTATTTAAATATAGACAAGTTATTGTTTGGTAGTATTTAAATTGTTTAAATATTAGCTTAAGTTTAGCACATATATTAAATGGAAAATATAAACAATGAAAGGTTCTTTATTTTTAATATAAAAACATTTTATAAACCTTTTAATAAATAAGTACTAAAATTTGTTGGATTACAATTTTTAAATACTGTTAAAAACAAAAAGCTTTTTCTTTTGTATTATTTGTAAAGAACATAAAAACAAAATCAGTTTGTCAAAAAATAGTGTAATAGTTTATAAAACATTACCATTATTTTTACTTTGTGATAATCAGAAACCTATGTTAGATTACATTAACTAATTATTTGGTGCTTAAATTCCATATCAACTTGAATAAAATAAAGGACATAATTATGATGATATATGATACCAAAATAAAATTATATGATATTTATTCCCATTATATATGTATGTATTGTATTTGTTACTATAAAAGAGTATTTCATTTGCCACATTTACTGTACATTACACCTATTATGTATAATGTATGTATGTTGTTAGATATTTAGGGTAATCCGAAAGTTACTTAGAATTCTTACAAAATTGTCACAGATAACTTCATATTTATAGAAAGTATTACTGTTATAACATTAGTTTTAACATTAATCAAATAAATGATACAAATTATTTAGTACACTAGTTATTTTACTTTCCTAGTTTTAAAATATAATGTCTAAAAAAATTCTACATTCTCAACATGTTTTCTTAAAATCTTTAATTAACTTAAATGTGTTTTAACATTCCTAATAGTATACTATGCAACGGCCATTTAATCATAGATAATAAATCATATAGGGAGTTGTATGCACTATTTTTTCTACAACTATCATAATAAAGTAGAAAATTAATACTTCAAGGATTAAAAATTTTCTATGTTAACAGTAACTTGTCAAAATTAATAAATATTAGATCCGTCAGATGTCCAAGGCAATAGTTAATATTGTCAGAATATTTATATTGGTTAACATTATTATTATTTGTTAAAAATCTGTATCATAAAGAACAATTTGTATCATAATGGATCTCATTATAGTACAGGTACAAAATAAAATAAGGTAAGGGAGTGAAAAAATATATTTTAAAGATTTTAAGATTGTAACCTTTTAAAGTGAGTGATTTTGATATGTATTTGACATACTTGAATTTGGTGTTGTTAGGCTTATTTCCCAAGTTGATTTTTTTTCTTGGGGACCATCTAAAATTATTTGTATAGTATTAAAACAATTTTGAAAAAAAAATAATATTTTTTACGATGTCGTTTAACCTAAACGAAATTTTAATGACATAAGAAAAAAATCATAACTCAATAAAAAATGGACATGCAACAATATATAAGAAATATTTTTGTGGAAAATGTTACGCTTTACAAAAAACACCTTTTGTTTTTTTTGTAAAATTATCGGAAGTCTAAATTTAAAATAAATCAAAATAAAAAGTATTGCAACTTTTTTTAAATTATTTGTTTTAGTCTAAAAATAATTAAAAAATAATAATGATACTTTTAATTTTTTATTATGTTTTTACGAAAAAAGGTACAATACCTTTTTTGTAGAGCATAACATGCAAAAATTTGTCGATATCGGAAAAAAATATTTATTTTTTTCAAAATTGTTTTAAACTGTAAATAAATAATTTACCCAAGTAAAAAAAGAGAAATTAAAGCCAAAAAAGATATATTTTTTATTTATTTCTAACATTGTCCTCCAAAATTATTTTAATGTATGGTTTATAACAGACACTTTACTGGACACCTAGTAATAATTATGAGTGTATATTTCCATTAAATAAAGCAATTTTTTTATTAATAGTTCTTTATTGATACGAATAACTTGTCTGACTATAAAAATACAGTGGTTTTTAATAACAAAACAAATAAGAAATATTGCAAATAACTCTAATATTATTAAAAACCTTTTCTCACTTAAAATTTTATGTAATTAATTAATCACATTTTGTATTTTTATCTTACATTATAAACATGTTAAGCAGTCTAAAAAATATCGACAAATTAAGGTCAAAAAACTACCAATTATACATAATAAAACATCTTGATTAGTCTTAAATCTATTAAAACCTATTTTGTCATGCATATCACGATATATTTATATATTAACAAACAAAAATAAGTTGTACATGTTGCTAGATTTAACATTTTTTAATAAAGTATACAATTTTAAAATTAATGAAATGAAATGTAATATCCCTAATATGGAATACCAGAATTTTTGTTTAGTTAGGTACATTTGTATCTGCCAACCAACCAGTTGCAATTCCCCAAATTTTATTTGTTTTTATTTTACCTAATAAAAGTGCAAAAGTGATTGGCACTTTTAACTGATTAGTAAACTATACAGGGTGCACCAAGTATCCTTCTATGTAAAAGTTGCATCTATTAAAATGGAATTTAAAAATTGGCTAAAAAATCAGCGGTTCTCAAATAATAAAAAAAAACACTGAAAACCTGTCAAAGCCAAAAATTGTTATAACTTCGATATTCCTGGAAATTTTGAAAAAGGTATGTTTTACATGTAAACATACACATTTAACTAAATTTTCATGTTATTTGGTGATTTTTTTCGCCTAATGGATTTTGAGATACTCCCATCTTTTGTTTTTCCTATATTAAAATTTTACATGATTGGATGAAAAAATATCAATACGATGTATCAAAACATAGTAGCGAAAAAATCGGATGAAAATGTAGATTAATGTGTATGTTTACATGTAAAACTTACTTTGTTTTAAAATTCTCAGGAATAACAAAGTTAAAAAAGATTTTTACACTGCGCGACAAAATTAACGCATAATAAGTAAAAAAAATTCGAACTCTAAAACGCCTTTCCCAATCTTTATGAAATTTTGTATAAAAATACTTCAACTTATATCTCAGCTTACGTTTCCGATGGTTTTTCGAGAAAATATTTTTAAAGCCCTTTTATTTAATAATAAAAAACGTTTGAAAAATAACTTTTAAGGAATTTTTTTTAAGTAAATAAAAAATATGCTGTTAAAGGCCGTATTTTTGTTAGTATACCCTTAACATTTTGTACAAATCAAACGAACAGTAACGAAGATTCAGCGCTTTAAAGTCGGTACAAATTTGATTATTTTGCTGAAAAGTGGTCATTTTTGACGACTTTGAAGCGCTGTATTTTCGTTACTGTTTGTTTGATTTGTACAATATTTTCAGGGTATACTACCAAAAATACGGTCGTTCTCAGCATATTTTTTATTTCCTTAAAAAAAAAATTTCCTATTAAAGTTTTTTTTCGAGCGTTTTTTATTAGTATTAAATAAAATGGCTTTAAGGATATTTTCTCGAAAACCCCTTAAACACGTAAACTGAGATATAAGTTAAAATTTTTTATCCAAAATTTTATAAAGATTGGTAAAAGCGTTTTAGAGTTGGATTTTTTTACTTGTTAGGCGTTAATTTTGATGCGCAGAGTAGTTTTTTTCTAATACCTATTTTAAGAACCTTTTTTTTTTTTAATTTGTAGCTCTTTAAATAAAAAAGTACCCATACACATTACACAATACACAAATCGACTATTTTTTTTTGGAAAGTATATGGAAAATATTGTTTGGGGTGACAAAAAAAAATTATGGTAAAAGTTTGAGTCCATAATATTAATATTAAGAGGTCTATCATCGCAATTTTAGATTTTTTTTCCTGAGCGAGTTTTTGTCGCAGAACTCCCAAATCATTGAGTTTAACAAAATTGACTTAAGAATATTTTTTGAGAAAATTGAATGCTCTACAAAAAAGGTTTGATTGGAATTTCCCGTCAGATGAACCCTTTTCTTACAATCATGCCTTAAAAATTGGTATAGTTTTACAATTTGATCTTTTAACTTTTGAATTTTGTTAAAAAATCAGTACCCTGAAAAAAACGATAAATATTCTTATGGGAAATCAAATGCTCTACAAAAAAGTCTTTTATCATTTTTGGCCAAATTCACTCCATCAAAAGTTATTCAAGGTTAAATTTGAAGTCAAAACGAAATTTTAATCTTGAATAACTTTTGATTGAGTGAATTTAGCCAAAAATGTTAAGAGGCTTTTTTTGCAAAGCATTTGATTTTCCATAAGAATATTTATCGGTTTTTTATAGGTACTGATTTTTACATGAATTACAAAATTCCAATTTAAAAGATCAAAATGTAAAACTATACCAATTTTTAAGGCATGATTTTAAGGAAACGGTACATCTGACGGAAAATTTCACTTTAACCTTTTTTGTAGAGCATTTAATTTTCTTAAAAAAATATTTTCAAGTCAAGTTCTGAGACAAAAACTCGCTCAGGAAAAAAAAATCTAAAATTGCGATGATAGACCTCTTAATATTAATATTATGGACTCAAACTTTCACATAAATTTTTTTAAACCCCAAACCATATTTTCGATATACTTTTCAAAAAAAAAATAGCTGATTTTTTTGGCCCAGTCTAATACACATAGTGCATCCTGTATATCAAAAAAAATAGAGTAGAATGTTTGCCTTCTTTCTTATAAATAATCTAGCAGCAACACGGTTTAACCTAGCAATCCATTATAGAATCTAGTACGCCTCATCTTATACTTAAACCTTACCAATTTCTATGCCGAAAAGACCACATCCCATTGGCTTGAATCACGCAAAGCACCCTCAATCCCTCGGCAAGTAGTTGATTCCACCGGGCGTCTGATACAACGGCCTGCTCTGCGTCGTGTACAACGAAGCAGGCGACGACACCTGCTGCTGGTACTGCGCCTGCGACCGCACCGAGTACCCGGAAGTGATGCTTCCGGTCTTCGGCTGCTGGCTGGTCATGACCGGAAGCGGGCCTTCGCGCGCGTGCACCACGTGGCCGTGCGAGGAGGGCGTGCGCAGCGATTGGTAGTGGTCGGGGATTTTCTGCTCGAGGTGGAAGGTTTGCGGTCGCGGGGATTCGTACACGCCTCGCGGGGGTTCGCGTGACGTCATCGGGTAGTAGATCGAGATTTCTGGGTGCGCCACAGGGTAGAACGCCGATGTTTGGTTCGCGTATTGCGAGTTTTCTGAAAATGTTCGATAGATCATGTTTGTGTTGAGTGTACATTTTTACAAATGACACATTGTGAAGGGTAAACTACATACTGCAGGAAATGAAATAAAAAACCTTGCATAGTATTAGGTTATTGATATAAGAATGATAAACAATTGTTTTTAATAAAGTTGCGTAAAGTTGTATATAAATATTTTTATTTAAAAATAAATTATCAAAAACAAATGACCCATCCCTGAGTTAAATTAAAATTAATTTAATGAAAAGGGAAAAGTTAGGTTTTAGAAGGTTTCATAAAAAATCTAATCGTTGAATTCAATGTTGTAATAAATTAAATCAGAATAAAATACAAAATTGAATGCAATTTTTAACACCTTATTCTTTGTAAAAAAACAGGGTTCCGGATAGGGTTTTAAAAACAGAAAAATTGGGAAATTTTCAGAAAAATTGACTTTTGTATTTTTTTCATTTTATTCAAAAGGTAATAAGAAAAGATGCAAAAGGTAATTTTTATAAAAATGTGCAAATTTTTAAGGACACTGATATCGAGAAAACAGTGAATTTCCGACGCTGATCATATAATATTATGAAGGAATAATTATTCCTTTTATTTTAATTCAGTAAGAATATTCTACCGGGTATTATACAAGGTGTCCCTAAACTTAGTGGCATAAATTTAGGAGCAGATTAAGGGAGTCAAAATAAGACGAAAATCTAAATAAATATTTTTCTTAATTACGTATGTTTTAAAGATACAGGGTGATAAAGTGTTACTTATCATATTAGTTTTTTTTAAATAACTTCTACTATTGTTATAATAAGTAACACTTTATCACCCTGTATCTTGGAAACATAAGTAATTAGGAAAAATATTTAGTATGTTTGAATATGAATATGTTTAAATATGTGTTTTGGTAGTAAGTGACTGTTCGCAAAATATCACCTTTCCAAGAATACCATGGTAGAAGTTATATTAAAAAAACTGATACAATAATTAACACTTTATCACCCTGTATCTTGGAAACATAAGTAATTAGGAAAAATATTTATTTAGGTTTTCGTCTTATTTTGACTTGCTCAATCTTTTCCTAAATTTATGCCAATAAGTTTAGGGACACCTAATGGTATTATGTATTATGTAATTTATAAAATTATAATTTTGTAATTAAATATTTTAAATGTTTAGTTGTTGATTGCCACTGTTTTTAAATGTGTTTATTGCCAAAAAAAATTTTTACCCAAAAAACAATTTTACCCAAAAAACGAAAAAAAAACCAGGTTTTTCCAAAATTTTTTCGTTTTTTTTTTCGACACTTTAAAACCCCCGGATTTTAATCGCAAAAATTTAATAGTCAATAGAACTGACAAAAATTGGAGGAAAAGTTTATATGAACTATGCTTTGTTTTCAAGATAATAAAATTAAAGTTAATAAAAAAAGTGTTTTTTTTTATGAATTTGTTATTATACTTTGCAATTAAAAATTATGTTTTTACTTTTTAAATAACTTTTTTGTCTCATAAATTTTTTCTCTATCTTGGTTACTTTTCAAAAAAAAATTTGTTCATCTGCCTGTGATAATTTTCTAGGGGCAAGGGAATAAACGAATTTTATTTTTTTCTTGAAAATTAAAAAAGATAAAGAAAACATGCAGGAGAAAAAAGTTGTATTTTTAAGTGCTTAATCTAAAAATAATATTAAATTTATAAAAAAGTAGCGTACCCAAGTTTTATTTTTAAATATCTAGTTGAGATTCCCCAGCGCCGCCTCTGGATTAACAAAATCAAACTTAATTACATTGAATTTAGCCCTTTATCCATTACCAAAACCCTGAAAAGTTTTTACTAAATTCAGCTAAGAAGTTTTTCAAATGTTTGAAAAAAGAAATATTTTTTTAATAAATTTATTACCGTATCTCAAAAACGAAGCTTTAAAACATCATGTTCATATAAACTGTTTTTGCGAGTTCTATCGACTTTAGTTTTCCAGATTAAAATCTGAGACACCCTGTATATCGTCGGCAACGGCAACCGTCGATATTCAGTGTGACCCATTTGTTTGCGACTAAATATATTGAACCATGTTACTATTAATTTAATTTTATTTCTATGTTTTTTCATACACTTTAAAACAAATCCGGTTAAAATCGCACAATAAATAAAGATTTTTCAGGGGTGAGCCGCAAACAAATGGGTCACAGTGTATATAAACTATTTATATAAAATATATAAAATAATATTTTATCATATCATGATATTTTCAACATTTTATTTCAAATGCAAATCGGCAGTTTGATAATTGTTAACTTTATAATGTAATTCAGAATAATCCTAATTTTTATATAGGTACCATTAAATTAATATCCAATTGTCATATGATACAATATTTTTTATTTTAAAAATTACATTTAAATGGTTAAATTAATATAAAAATTACAAATTTGAATAAAACTCCTAATTTCCACTAAAAAAAAATAAAACTTTTCAAATTCAACAATTAATCATATAATAAAAACGTATTTTTTCATCAGAAGAATCATTTAATTGGATATTAATTTAATGGTACCTATATAAAAATTAGGATTATGCTGAATTACATTATAAAGTTAACAATTATCAAACTGCCGATTTGCATTTAAAATATATATATATATATATATATTATATTATTTTATATATTATATTATATGACATAAACAGCAAATATAATATATAATCATGATAAAATAAATATCAAAATATCCAATATACATATATCAATCCAGTGATATAATATTTATATAAATATCATATTTTTAAACCCTGAAAAAACCAAAGAACTAGTTAGAGGCCTTTCATAACATATGGCATGGGGAGGGGGTCTGAATCGTGTGTTAAGTCACACCAAATAAAACAAAATCACTTGGCGTGTTGGCGAGTTTTTTAAACTTAAAAACTTATATAATTTTTGAGTTAAGAGGGATTTCTCAACTCAAAAATTATATAATTTAAAATCTAAAATCCCTAAAAAATATTTTACGTACCTACTTTATGGAAAGCCATAGAAGACTTATTTTTAATATGTTCTCAATAAAAATAACAAATATTTTATAATGAATTTACAAAAATGCCATAAACAGAATATTTAATTTTTAAAGTATTATTATTACTGAAGAAGACATATCTTTGGAAAAAACAAAGCAGTCAAAAATCTAATAATAAAGACAACTAAAGTGTTGTTTTTAAATGTTAAAATCATTATAATTTTAATACAAAAAATTAATATAAGCCATAAATGAAAATGTCCTTCAATAAAAGCTTTTTGAGAAGACATTTTACCATTTTTTAAAAGAGGGTCTAAGATTTAAATTTTTGCTAAATGTTTTGATAGTAAAATAAATAATAATTATTTTATAAATAGTGAAAACTTAGTCACGATTACGAAATAATTAAAAAAATATATTGAAACATCAAAAGCCCCAACTCTTAATCCCTAAAACAAAAACCACAAAATACCTACTTTTTTATGTTTTCCTTTAAAAACAAAAAATAGGACTTAAATAAGCAACAAAAATATACATATTAGACACAAAAATGTACTAGCAGAGTAAGCAGTTAGGTATGTACAGCCATTTGTAAACCAAAACCATTTGGATATTTTGTGAATATAAGACAATAAACCTAAAATTCAATATCAATTATATCTGCACAAATTTTATTTTAGCAATATAATAGATAAAAAAACTTTTATTTTGTTTAATATTAACTTAAAAAAAGAATAGTTACTTACTATAGCAATTATTGTTATTGCTATTATAGTACTATAATAAATAAGTATGCATAAGGCCACATGGTTATTTTAATAATTTTATGGAATTATATAATTGGTTTATGTTTAAAATATTCACAATATCCATAGAGAAATTTAGTGTTTTATTTAGCAAAAAAGCAAAAAAGTGGTGTAGGAAACACTCACTGTTCCATAAAACTGCTCTGACTAAAGTTTCTGTATTACGTCTACCATCATCTTCTGTAATTAAAAAAATTATGACACAAATACAGATAATTTTTTTATATAAATAAGCTATCAAAACAACTAAAGGCTTTAGATTATCAAGTTACATTATATAAACCTTTAAACCTATTTACTGTAAATGTAATAAAACAATACTTTATAACTACTTCTTTAGTAAATATTATACATACTTTGTGGTGATGTTTGGTAATTAGCGGTATTAACTGCAGGTGGTTTATAACCATATCCTTGATGGTACATTGAAACTGGAACTGCTGGTTGGGGACTGGGACTTCTTGGTCTTTTAACCGTAGCTTTAAAAGTTGGCTGTTGTGGAGGAATTGGAGCTCCTCTTGGTACAGATGGAGAAATATACAGCTGTTGATGTACCAATGCAGAAGGCATTGTTTGGAGTGCTGTCAAGTTCATATCGCTGAAAAGGTTTTTAATAAATACATTGAAAATCAAAGATTGTTTATACAACTTACTTTTCTTTAACTAGTTGCCTTCGCCTATTATCATCCTCATTTAACACTTTTTTAAGCTGTAAAAACAGCTGGTGTTTTTCTTCCTTCAACTGCGTTAACTTAGCTTCTAGCTGTGATATCTGCTCTCTAGTCTCACCGAGGGTCATTACGTCTTGTTGTTCTCTAGCCTCTCTTTCTTTACGTTGCCGTTCTTCTTCGACTTCTTGTTCCCTTTCCTGCCTTTTACGTGCCCTTTCGCGTAAAATATGCGCCTTCAAAACTTTCCACATCTGCTCACTACGTTCATCTTTGGATTCCTGGGTTTCTGCCACGGCGGCAGGCATTTTGGACGGAGCTAAAATACTGTTTTTTGTTAAAATACAGGGATTTTAATGTAAACAGTTATTGATTGTAAATAAAAAAGGTGTCAACTGTCAAAATTAGGTTGGATAGCTACAGGGTTACCATGATACAAACAACAAAGGTTACCACTTGTTGGGGAGAAAGTTACTAAATCAAATGCGCTGTTGCCAGATTGAAGTTGGAGGTTTCTCAGATGTAGGGATTTCCATTAAAAAATTCGACTTTTGTCAAAAGCATCTAACCTTATTTTTTTCTTTTAACAAATAAAATGTTCTATGCCAATTGGCAAGGATCTGTCGCTTAAACGTTTTATTACTGTTAACGACGTTACTGTAACATGTGCATTAAGGTAACAAACGTAACGGCTTTGTCACAGTTAAGCCTGATTTAAAGATTGCCTTCCTTCCTTCCTCCCGTAAAAGATGAACAATACGAAAATCGTAGTGCCATTCACAATCACAATAATTATTGTGGTGCCATTTATAGATTCCCATACGGGAATCTATAAACAGCACAACGGTTTTTGTATTGTTCATCTTTTACGTGAGGAAGGGAGGAAGGAAGGAAGGCAATCTATAAATCAGACTTTGCAGTTTATGTCCGCCTTCTACAAAGTAACATATGTTACAATATTGTATTTTTAAAACGCTTATGTAACTTTCCGGTTGTGGTGTTAAATATGGTGGTACGGCGCAGCATCGATTTAACGTTATATATTATCAAAACGTTTATGTAACGTTCCGATTGTGGTGTTACATAATATATGCGCAGGACTTCAGGATGTGATAGCTTATCCAAAAAGATGAAAAAAGTCGCTATTAACTTACCCTCTAAAATGCACAATTTTCGAGATACAGGGTGTTGAAATTTTAGAAAAAAATTCGTTTTTTTAGATTATCTCTGGAACCGTTTATCGTACAAAAAACAGCTTTTGTAAGCATTTTCTACTCATAATAAGCTATGTTTTGTGCCAGAAAAAATTTTTTTTTACTCATAATTGGTGGAGATTTTGAAGGGGTAGCGGGTGTTTTTCTCCTCAACTTCAACGCCCCTGAAAAAAGTACGGTTTTGAGAGGCCCATTCGAACCGCCAATGTTTTCTACAGAAAAAAGGTACTCTTGGTCATGAGCTCTAAAGTTGACCGTCTTCGAGAAAAATCAACTTTTATGTTTAAAAACATGGTCAATTTTTTGAAAAAAATTTTTTATTACTAATTAAACAAAATTTATTTTAACGTTAGAAAAAGTAACAAAACCAAACGATAATTGCAAAATTAAAAAAAAAAATAAAAAATGATTTTTTACTCAAATGCTGAAATGTGCGAAATGCGTTACCTTTACGGTTTGGAGAATTAAGCAAAGACAACTTTTAAATCATTTTTTATTTTGCAATTATGGTTTGGTTTTGTTACTTGTCCTAACGTTAAAATAAATTTTGTTTAATTAGTAAAAAAAAATATTTTTTTTTTTAAATTGACCATGTTTTTAAACATAAAAGTTGATTTTTCTCGAAAACGGTCAACTTTAGAGCTTATGACCAGGAGTGCCTTTTTGTGTAGAAAACATTGGCGGTTCGAATGGGCCTCTCAAAACCGTACTTTTTTCAGGGGCGTAGAAGTTGAGGAGAAAAACACCCGCTACCCCTTCAAAATCTCCACCAATTATGAGGAAAAAAAAGCACAAAACATAGCTTATTTTGAGTAGAAAATGCTTACAAAACCTGTTTTTTGTACGATAAACGGTTCCGGAGATATTCGAAAAAAACGAATTTTTTTCTAAAATTTCAACACCCTGTATCTCGAAAATTGTGCATTTTAGAGCGTAACTTAATAGCGACTTTTTTCATCTTTTTGAATGAGCTATCACATCCTGAAGTCCTGCGCATATATTATGAAACACCCTGTATATATTGGACATGGGCTCACACCAAATTTATATTTATACCGACACTAAATTAACAAGTTCTGCGCGAGCAGAATTTAAATATATGTTTGCGAAAAAAAGGCAGTTTTTGCACCGCCCACCCTACAGCCTGGCCACCCTAAACATAATACAAACTTTAATGTTGGAATTTATAATTTACATGGTTTATGGACCAATTTCAATTTATAAAGAATTTCTACCTATTACAGATTTTATACCATTTTAAATTTATATTTTTTTTCCTAAAATAATAAAAAAATAAAATGGTATAAAATCTGTAATACTTGGATTTTTTAAATAATAAATTATCTTTATTAGGGGGGCCAGGCTGCAATGTGGGCGGAGCAAAAACTATGTTTGCTAAGCAAACTTTGCTTAGCAAACTTCTATTTAAATTTTGCTTGCGCAGAACTTGTTTATTTAGTGTCATTATAATATAAATATAATATATAAACTAATATAAATTTGGTGTGGGTCCCATGTCTTATAACTGAGATATGGCATATGCAAAATCCAGCTTATATGGTAATGATATTATTTATGAAATAAAAATTAAAAATAAATTTATTGAATATTATAACAACATATTGTAGCGAGTACCCCTCTGGATCTCGAAATGATGACTCATCGCCGGTGAGTCAGCGCTCGTACAATCGAGAGCGGTGTGGAGCTCGCTGGAATGTTCGAGAAGGCGCTTGCGTGACTGGTATCACGTAGGCACTGAATATATAAGGAACAGCGCAGCATGGAGCAGTCAGTCAAGCTTGGTACTCGCGATCGCGACGAAATAAAATAAATATACGTACAAATAAATAGACTCTTGTACAGTAGTGATATATAAATAATTAGTAAATAAGTGTTTAGTTAGTTTTAGTGTTTTAAGTGTAATTAAGTTATAAAATAAATAATTTAGTTCGTTAATAAACTTTACAATATATTCTTTGGTTCCATTCCGACATAGTCATTTATTCGGCAGATTTTTTTTTCAATTGCAAACGTTTTAATCGCTGGTTTCCTTGACGGAAAAAATCCATGGCGCTTTTCTCGAGGTATAATATATTTTATAATTAATGCCGGGTAGTGCCGTTTTACCGTGCGAGGACATAAAAGAAAAATAAGTTAAAAGACAATGTACCATCAAGTTTTAGAAGTTAATCGGATATTTATTGATAAATAGGTATCCGATATCCGATATCCGATATATCGTATATATACGATATCTACTTGACGAGATATTTAACAGAAAACCTGAAGAACGTTTTCGTACTGTTATATTTTGACCACTCAAATTTAAAGGTTCCTGTTTTTTTCTCTAAACGTAAGCATAATCATGCTAACAAGCTATACAACACATGAACGTTACTGTATCGTTTTACGTTTACCCTAACACATTTACGCTGTGATGACTAATTACACAACGTTGGAGTATTTTAAAATAAAAATTTCAAAACACTTCTGTTTCTCACATTTCGAGGGGGGTTTTAAACCCCTGCCTACGCCCTTTGTATTAATCAATTTAACATTTTTTTAAACAAGCCAAAATAATCATCATTTACATAAATTACCTCACAACGCAGGTGTATAGAAGGGACAATTAAACAAAATTTATTTTTAATATTTAATTCCGAGTTAGGTAACACAGAATTAATTTCTTCCATTTAATTCTGCGTAAGGTAACACAGAATTAATTCCCTCCCATTTAATTCCGCGTTAGGTAACACGGAATTAATCCCTTCCTATTTAATTTCGTGTTAACTAACACAGAATTAATTCCCTTCCATTTAGTTTTGCCTTAGGTAACACAGAATTAATTCCCTTCCATTTAATTCTGCGTTAGGTAACACATAATGATTTCCCTCCCATTTAATTCCGTGTTAACTAACACAGAATTAATTCCTTCCTATTTAATTCCGTGTTGGGTAACACAGAATTAATTCCCTCCCTTAAATTAATTAAATTAATTCTGTGTTAGATAACACAGAATTAATTAAGAAGGGAATTAATTCTGTGTTACCTAACGCGGAATTAAATGAAAGGGAATTATTTCTGTGTTAGTCAACACGGAATTAAATGGGAGGGAATTAAATCTGTGTTACCTAACACGGAATTAAATAGGAGGGAATTAATTCTGTGTTACCTAACACGGAATTAAATATGAGGGTCTTAATTCTGTGTTAGTTAACACGGAATTAAATAGGAAGGAATTAATTCTGTGTTACCTAACGCAAAATTAAATGGAAGGGAATTAATTCTATGTTAGTTAACACGGAATTAAATAGGAAGGGATTAATTCTGTGTTACCTAACGCAGAATTAAATGGAAGGGAATTAATTCTGTGTTACCTAACTCCGAATTATAATAAAATAATAAAAATAAATGTTGTGTAATGTCCTTTCTACGCCTTCGTACCTCACACATTTTTAAGGGATTTTAAGATTTTGCAATTTTTATTATTTTTTTTTAATTATAATTACAATAAAAAATAGGGAGGGACACAGAAACCCAGTGGTTTTAGAATAATCGTAAAAAAAAAGATTTGCTCTAAAAAATTGAATTGCTAGAATAATTTTTCCCGATCGCCTTTTTTCTATCGGGACACCTCCCAGAAAGGACATGTGTGCGAAAATAGGCGTATAGGCTAAACGAATTGAAGAAGTCGATCTGTCAACAAATCAATATTGCCACATGCCATCAACAATGTTGACTCTCTCCGGTAGCTACTAGGTATCTGTTAAATTAACACAGACCTACTGGAGAGAGTAGAGAAAGCGGCTTCGTCAATGTGATGGGGTTATAATATTATAATGGGCATCATACTTTTGCAAGACTTTTTTTCGAACATAATGTATAATATACATTGTATATCTGTATCCTAGTGCCAAACTGTAAAGTCCACTTTTTTAAAATCACGTAACAAATTTTTTGTCTACGTATACGTACATTTTTCCACTCTTACCAATGGTAAACGGAATTAGGTCAGGCCAGGACTTCTAGGCAATTATATTTTTTACGATTTAAAACCACTTGGTTCCTGTGCCCCACTCTGTTTTGTATTGTAATTATAATTAAAATAAAATATAACAAAATTTGAAAAAAAAAACAAAAACTAAAAATAATTTTTGACCTGGATTATTTTTATCAATATTTACTAAAAAATTTAAAAAATAAAAACAGGCAGGT